CCCACAAGCAGATGAATGGATTAAAAAAGGTTGGCACATATACTCCATGGAATACTATTCAGCCATTAAAAAACAATAAGGCCAAGGAATTTGTTAAGAAAGTGGATGACTATGGAAGATCTGTTGCTGAGTGAAGCAAGTCAGGCTACAAAAGAGAGACCTTGTATGCCTGTCTCCACTTAACATATACCAACTGTCTACACTTTATAGTAGAGATGGAAAGATTGGAGCACATAAAAGCATTAAAAATTGTTATGGATACTAGAGACAAAGTGGAAGGAGCGTGTGGGAAGGGAAGAGTGTAGGAAAGGAAATTTGGTGGAAAAAATAGAGAGGTAACACATTTGTGGAACACAGATATGGTTTATTATCTGCTGATCAGTATGTGTACAGTATTCTCGACTGGGCTGGACTGAGGTGTATATCATTCTGGGTAAAGTCTTTTTACAAACTAAATGATCTATAACAATTGAATGTATAAATAATAGTAATAATAAAAACAAAAATTAAAAAGATTTATTTATTTATTTTTAATTTAACTTTATTTATTTATTTATTCATTCATTTATTTCAGTTTGACCAGAGAGGGACAGAGTGAGAAAGAGAGAGAAAGTGAGAAAGCAAGCTGACATATCCGGAACTTGAACCACGGTCAGCCATGCGGGAATCCAGCGCCTTTAACCACCACGCCACCTGCCGGCCCCGAAAGATTTTTTTATTATTATTATTCAATTTGACCAAAGAGACAGAGACAGAGAGAGAGAGAAAGAGAGAGAAGCGAGCTGCCAGGCCCAGGACTCAAACCACAGTCGACAATGTGGGAGTCTAGCACCTTAACCACCATACCACCTCCTGGTTCCAATGACCCAATTTTAAGACCTGACCTAGCATATAAGAAATATACATGTGTTATATCATTCTCTAATAGTTAATGTATTCTTAAAATAATTCATAATTATTTCTTTTAAAGTCTTAGTAAGTATAGATAGATAATATAAGCTTAAAGTTGACAGCTTTTAGATTTGTTCTTAGAGTGAAAGATAAGTAAGGTCAAAGACTATCCAGAGAATAGTACAATAGCCCTGTCATGAACAGAAAGGACAGAAAGAAATTTTTCTGTGGAGATAATAACTCAGTTTTGTAGGAAAGAGTTTCTGTCACTTCAGATATCTAAAGTTAGGGATACATACCAGTAGTTGCATAGAGACAGATCATATGTGTGATAATGTTTTTGAAACTCTCCATGTAAAAGTGATACTCCAAGTAATTGACCCGAGGGTGTCAGAGTGATCAGGCTCAACACCCATGCTGGTTCTCGTCCAATGTTCATGAGGAATTAGAAACATGGACAATTGGAGAGGATTGAAAGCCGAGTTTTATTGAATGAGAAAGGAAGGGGCCCCAAGCAGGTTGCCATCGGTGGGCTAAATGGGTCTAATTTTACAGAATCATGTTTCTCTTTGAAATGAGCTGTCAGCCCAGGTCCTGGAACTTAAGACACCTGGGAGCCTTGAGTTAATCTTGGTTCCTGGGAGGGGCCATATGGCTTTGTGCTTTAGTCAGTGAAGGAGATTCCCTATCTTTTGTGCTCCAGACTATGACTGGTTTCTCTCTAATTTTAGCCCACAACGGGGAGTCATAAATTCCTCTGAGACTTATAATGGGGACATAGTGATCATTTACTAGACTATAGAAAGCAACACCATGGTAACATCACTGTGGGAGCTCCTCTCCTATCAATGTATGAGTGGGGTCTAACTCCTAACTCACAATAGATCAGATTAGCACTAAAAGGAGAAAAATTGAGAAGAAGCCAAAATCCTTTTCAATCCTTCATTTGTACTGTACATGCTAATCCTAAATTGCCAGCATAATTAGATCATAAAGACAGAAATCAATGAGAAATGTATCATTGAGATTAAACTAAAAGAAGGTGACAATAGTGCATAGACTTGAAGGGGGAAGAGGAGCTTAGTTAAGGGCAAGCCAAGGGAAGAGGATTCAAGACTACTCAGAATATTACATGCCTGTTTGATATCACTTTCTTAATTAATTTTCATTTGCGAAATTCCTAGTTCTTCTTTTACAAATCAAGGCAGCAAGCAAAGCTTTGAAATCCAAACAGACAGTCACAGCTTTGTAACAAAAGTTTACTGTGACACCTTCATACTTCAAATCAATTTGTTTATAGCAGAAGTAAAGAATTCTGCTATAGAGCATATGGATTTATGCAAAGAGTGCTGTGAATACTTAGGAAAGCTGTTCTGTGGTTTTGGCATATGATGACATTGCGTTTCTTTCTACTCTACCTTTAGTCTTTACTTAAAATATTACATTTTAGTTTCTGTCTACTTAAGTTAAATTTGTTTTGACTTAACTTTGCAACAAAAGATAATCACATGAGTTCTTACAGTTTAACATCAATGTGATGACATTTTTACTTTTGAAAAGCAATATTTACTAAGATGTATAATCAGTTCTGGCAGCAAAATACTTTTTTATGTAAAGAAAACAC